TCCAGGAAGACTATGTCCACTGCTACCCCTGCATCTAATGATCTGGTGATCTGATCATAGAAGGCTACCAGGTTGGTCTGACAGGACCTGCCGCTAATGAACCCGTGTTGGTTGCCCCTAAGCATGCAGTCCCCTGCTGGCCCCTCCTGGATGTGTGCCAGCATAATTTTTTCGAACAGCTTGCCTAGGATCGAGGTAAGACTAACTGGCCTGTAGTTCCTGGGTCCTCCTTCCTCCCCTTTTTGAAGATGGGAACTGCATTGGCCCTCTTCCAGTCCTCTGGCACCACATCAGAGCACCATGAGTGCTCGTACAGCCGTGCCAGGGGTCCTGCAATGACCTCGGCCAATTCCCTCAGTACTCGGGTGTGGAGATTGTCCAGAGCAGCTGACTTGAACACATCCAGCCCCTCCAGATGTTCCCTGATTAGATCCTCCCTGACCCTTGGCCTGGGCGCGCCTCCCCCGGGGCCTGAGGGGGCCTGGTGGGGGGGTGACTGTTTCGGTCCCTGCTCAGCAAAATGGAGGCAAATAAATTGTTAAATATGTTAGCTTTGTTGTCTGGTGCAACAACCAGATTTCCTAGTGTGTCTTGCAGGGGCCCCACATTACCAGTACCTTCTTTTTTCCCCCTAGGTATTTAAAAAAGGACTTCTTGTTGTGCTTGATCCAGGTCACTCGTCCCAGTCCCATCTCTGCCTTGGCCTCCCTGACCCCCCCCTGCAGCCCCGACTGACCACGGTGTAGTCCTCCCTGGGGATGGCCCCTCCCTGCCTTTGGGGGTGCGCCTCCCTTTTTGCTAGGAGACGTTCCCGGATGCTTTTGGTGAGCCGTGGGGGCTTTGCGCCCTCCTGCTCCCTTTGATCCGTGCTGGGATTACCTCCCTTTGGGCTTGGGGGAGCTCGGGGAAGGCAGATCTTCAGCCAGCATAAAACTGATTTCAGCTGAGTGGGAGCTGTGTCGGGTTATGCTGGAAGAGGTCCTTTGTCTCCCTTTCCAAGCCCATCTCTTTAGGCGATGCCTCATTCAGTACAAGTTTTGAATGCCAAAGATTGCACGTGGGGGAAATAGATGTTGTAAACTGATTTACCTGTATCCAAGCTATACTCTTTGATTAAATATTTTTTGGGCCAGAAAGAGCTATATCTAGCAGATTAGCCAGGGCATCCACAAGGGTCCACCTTTTTTCTAGTATCTGTTCCCTATGGCTTCATAGTCCCCAAGCATGTCAGCAAAAACGTCTGTGTTGCTTTGCTCAGTTAGCTGTCAGTGGAGAACCAGCTATGGAAATATTATCCCTCTTTATAACAGCAGCATCTGTGTTGTTTGTATATCAGAGGTTTTATACATAGCTTTTTCTACGCATTTGCACTTCTTTAAAGTTTTTTGTACATGAAATCAAACTTCAAACACAAATTTGATGCCGAGACGGCAAATATCTCTGCTGGGAAACAACTGAAAAGAGGAATACATCAGCTAGAGCTCGCTGCAACGGGTCCAGAGGAGAAGCTTTTTCCGAGCGGCCCCAGGCAGCGTCTGTAGAACAGGCCCCATGTCACGTGCACGTTGCTCGTGCTGGGAATACGTGCATTTTACACACATTTTGCTATGTCGCTTTCAGATCGCTAGCAGCAGAAAAACTGCAGCCACCAATGGGATGCTAACGGTGCTGGCGGGACCCCAGCACAGCTCGTGGGATGGACGGCTTGGAGAACCTCAGGCCAGGAGCAGACCCGAACTTTGCAAGTCCTTCAGAGGGCTTTTCTACTTTCTTCCCTTTACGACGTTGTCATGGCATGAAAACGCAAGAGTCCCAGGAGCAGGTCAGAGGAGAGGAGCCTCTAAACTGACATTGGAGTAATTTCTTCTGAATAATGTGGCAAGGGTGGAAAAGCAGCCCATAAAGGAGGCAGGGGATGCTGCCAGCGGTTGTGCTTCGTGCCCTATAAGACTGTGCGGAAACGTGGGTCGCGCAGTGGAGATGGTGAATGCAGATTTCGAGTCTGGAGGCTGTCACGTGAAATGCTGCGGTGTCTCGATGCAACTGCCCGCTGTCCAGCACGTTCCCTGATAGCTCCTCCGCCCTGTTCTCTGCACATCTGGTCTGCTCATAGGTTTCGTTGAAGCTCGGTGTTCACAAGCCATTGCCCCAGGCCATCTGCCGCTCCCCAGCTGTTTGCCAAGGTGGATTGAGAGGTCTGGTGCAATTGGTTGTGACCCTGAACCGCTGGTTCATGAGCCAAATGGGTCCTGGGCCTCCACTGCCAAAGGTCAGCAAGGGAGGAAGACCGGACGCTGGACCCAGAAAGCAACGCTCTCCCAAAGGCTCCTAGAGCACGAGGACACTCAGCCCAAAGAAGCATCCAGCTGATGAAATGTGTGACCTGCTACGTGGAGTAGACATGCCATAATCATGATGCTCCGGTTAAATTCGTCACCAACGCTGGGGTGAATTCTGCAGAAACACCATCCAGTGCTTAACTGCACCGCCCATAAATGAATAGCCCGGGGCAGGGTCTTTGCTGTCCAGTGAATGCATCTTTTGGCCCTGGTGTTTGCATCACGGGGTGGATTTTCACCGAGGGGGGAAAAGCAGATCTGGTTGGTGGTGAGCTGAAATTCACGGCGCTGTGCTAATCCAGCTGGAAAAGGACCTTTCACACCTCTTTTGAGGGCCATCGAGATATCCCCGTGCTGCCCAGGCTCCAAGCGAAAAGTGAGTTGGGGAATGAATGAATATGGAGCGAGGCAAAAGCTCGCGGGCAGCGTGCAGGCTGGACAAGGAGGATGCCATCGTGTTTGCAGGTCGAGCTTTAAACCTCAGCCAGGACTGTGCCTGTGACTCACTTCCTCGACTGGGTGGTGAACGGGGTTGGCGGCCGGAGCCAGAAGGAAGGGTAGGGCTAAAGCCTGGCGCATAATTGCTTTTTAAATCAGTCAATAAGGCTTATGAGCTGACAGCGGAGGGACTGACTATGCGGGGTTGAGTCCTGAGACAAAGGAGGTGAAAGCAGATGTAGCGCCAGGGGTGGAATGGGAAACCAATCCCGGAGAAGCCGTGATCTGTACTGCGGAGGCTTTTTGGCTTCGGGACAGCTCTTAAACATGCCGACAGACTGAGCCATGCCAGAGGACTGATTGCTCAAAAGTAAACACGCTACTTCCTTTCTTACTCGGCTTGTCGCGTGTGAAACAGGTGAGCGTGCTAACGGTGGCTGGAGCCAGCCAGCCAGCACACATGCCCACGCACAAGGAGCTGTGCACGCGCGTGGGAGTGTAGACAACTGGCCACTGGGACCCCAGACCACTGCCTGGGCCCTGAGTAAATGAGGCGCCACATTGCACGTGGCCATTAGAGACGTGTTGCTTGTCGTTTGGGCCCTTAGACGGTCAACACACCACTGCTATGGACAGACTGGGGCCAGATGACGACCTGGCCGAGCGCTGCAAGATGTGTGCGGATGTGCCCTGCAAGTGACTGGCAGACTAGCTCGTTAGCACTGTGTTCCCCCAGAGCTAATGAGTCCTGCTCGAGTGATGTACATCGGCCTTTGCGGGCTGGCAACTGGTGACACGTCCTGCATGGCCAAGGCTATGCGGGCATGCCAAGGGCGAAGATGGATTTAACGTGCTTCCAGGGTACATGCACAGCGGTGCAATTGTTTCCATTCCTTTCCATTCATTTACCCAAGAATGGAGAAAATATCAAGAAAACATGAGCCACAACCAATGTCAGGCAGCAGGTGGCTGAGTTTGGGGCTCTGACTCCCCCGTATGACGCAGGCACACCAAGGAAGTCACCACGACCTTTTGAAAGAACAAGTTTGATGACACAACTTAGCATTCAAATGGGTTGGAAAAGCTAAATGTGGACTGTAAACACCTCCAAGCTCGGCAGCGTCCGGCTCGGGGGGGGGTTGACTCTCCGGTGATGCAATCTGGCTCTGACTCCTGCCAAAGCCCTGTGAAGGGCCCCAAAATGCAGCCCTCCTTTGCTAGTCTCAACATCAAGTATTGCACCTTCTGGACAGAAAAAGGCTCCGGTCTCTTAAAGATAATTTATCAGCATTGTTGCATCTGTTTCATTCCTGGTACTTCTGTTACTGCCTGGGTGTTTCCTTGCTACCCTAAGTTATCGTACATACTAAATTAATAAACTAATTTCCCACAAAAATCAATGGCCAAATGCCTCAGAGTGATGTTCTTGTTGCACTGGGGAGGGGGGAACGTGAGCAGAGTAAAGTAAGACATTTAGTAGCTGCCACGATGAAAAAAGAATATGGCAAATGCAAAGGTTTCGTTCTGCACAACTGCAAGTAATGCTTGCACACAACTCCTGGGCCCTTGCCCGTCATTAGGTCCTTTAGGCATAACTAGACCTAAAGGACAGACAAAATGGCATGGGTCTGCAGTGCCCAAAGCCAGAGGGGACCCAGGAGCCTCTTGAGAGGGCTGAGTTGAAGGAGTCAATCCCTGGACCAAAGTCCACGTAAGGGGCTGAGTGGCACAGCTTCCTCTTTGCTGATTTACACCAGCTGAGAATACGATGCATCCTCCAAGGGCTACCCCACATAAGCCACAAGATGCTGGCGTTTGGAGGAGGGGGACATCAAGGCCACGGGGCATCAGGAGCAGACAGGGAAACGGGTGCATCGCAGGGCGCTCTCCTGCCCTGCGCAGGGGCCCGAGGAGGGCTCTTCCTCTTCCCCGTTTCCGATGCAGAGACACAAAGAGCCTGGATCTTGGAGTGAGGGCAGGGCAGCAGGCTGGCTGTCCCGGGGCAACACAGCCCCCCTCCCATTCCCTGGGGGTATAAACACCTCTCCTGTCCCGCGCACTTTTACCACGGCCTGGACCCCAAACAGCTTCCTGCTGGAGAAGGGGCAGGTGCGGCTGCTCGTGGGTCTCGCCCAGCTCCAGGGCTGCTGGGGTCACGCCAGTCTATCACAGAGACCCCGCATAGGTGCACGCGCGAAGCATCAAGCTGTTCTTGCTACCCCTCATTTCCCCATTCCCCTTTGGCATGCATGTGCACGTGTGTGCGTGCGTGCGTGCATGCATGCACACAGATACACAAACCCCACTCAAGTTCTGCCTGGTCTTTTGTGACTGACTGTCCCCCCGGGCTCCAAGGCACTGTCTGACAACGCCCCTGT